TATAAAGAACTTTAAAAAATCAGACCTCCCAAATTTAAAGACCCAATCCAAAAATGGGCATCTGAAATGAACAGACATTTCTCAGACAAAGAAATAGAAAGAGCAATAAACAGATGAAAGAGTGTCATAGCTAAATCCTGGAAACAACCCAAATGGCCATCAACTGATGAATGGATAAACAGATGTGCTGTTTTTTTAATACAATGGAGCACTACTCAGTCATAAAGAAAGATAAACTTGAGCCATTTATGGCTAAATAGATGCAATTTGAGACTATACTCTCAAGTGAAAAACAATCAGACAGATATGTGTAAATATCACATTGTCTCTCTAGTGTGAGAAACTGAAAGGGTAAATAAAGACCAAAATGTATAGTAGATAATATGAAATAGAAAGAAACTGTTCAAAAGGAAAGCAAATTATGAACGTGTGGGTGTGGGAATCAATAAAAGAAGGAAAAAATGGAAATAAACCTTTTGTAAATGAGGGGGAAAGGGGAGGTTGAAGGGAGGGAAGAGGAATCAAGAAAAAGTAGTCAAGCTATAGCATGTACAGGTACAAACCCCTTTGATGAATGTGATTCTTATGTATATGAAAATTGTACCAATAAAATTTATTAACTTTTTAAAAAGGTGCCTTGAGCTTCACACTGGTCCATGAGATACTAGAGCATCCCAGGAATTGTTACTATTCTGTCCCTGGCTGGTGTGAGAATCAAAATGGGAGATATCTAATAATAATCAAATAATAAGTTTACTCTTAAGCCAATTTTAACAACAGATAATAGCAGATTAATACTGCTCAGAAGTGGGACAAAATGCTATCTTTAAAATCTACCCATATGAGGGATTAGGGTTAGAAAATTTATATGCCAGTTTCTAAGAGCCATTAACTAAAGGATGTTCCTAGAAGAAGTTAATTTCTAATCATTGATGGCCTTCAACATACAAGGCTTTCTATAGTTCAAGGATAAAGGACACATCATGGAAAAACTTTCTGACACTGGCAGTTGAATATCAACAAGAGCACATTAAAGGTTTTGAAGGATAAGAATTGCATTAATCTCATGTATTACAAACAGAAAAAAACAGAAAAGGAAGAAAAAGATGAGGGAAAACATAGCAAAACATTAAAAAATTTCAAACATGTTGAAATATTGTAATATAAATGAAATTCGAATTTTAAAAAGGACAAGGAGAATAGGCAGAAACAATATTTGAAAAGATAATGGCTGAGAATTCCCAAGGTTGAAAAGTGATATCAAGCGACAGACTTAAGAATTATGTGAATGTTAATGAAGATAGATAGTAAACTGTATGTAGAGAACATCATAGTAACAGAGGTGGAAACCATGATAAATATAAAATCTTAAAAAACAATTAAAGAGAAAGAGATACAGTGTCTTTAGAGACAGAAAATAGAACGCCTTGGTGCTGACATTGCAACCAAAACAATGAAAGCCAGAAAGCAATAGCCTTTTATTGCTGGGACAAAATAATTGAAACAACTAACTAAAAGCAAGAATGGTTTATTTTGAAGTCAGTGATAACATTTTATTTTATGCACATCATTTTGTGAATTTGAGGCTCATAGAAGGGTCCAAGAAAAGTGAAAGCATGATTTTAATGCACCAGAGGATCTAGGAAATGGGAACAGAAGTAACCTAACTCAAAGGATCTTTTACAAATATAAAAATAATTAATTTGAAAGTCTATTTGTGCATAAATTACCACAATACTATGAATGATTATGATTTAGAGTAGAGACATGAGGATGAAATTAGAATTTTATTTTCACTGAATGAAATTATGGACTTTCTTACTCATTGCTGAACTTTTTCTTTTCAACTGCAGTCACTCCATCAGCATAAGTGCTCTCAGGTAAAAGTCTCATATTTAGGGATGGAACTATTTCATGCAAGTTTTTTTCAGCCAAATTCATTATTCAGATACAATTTAACAAATTCAAGTTTAGTTTGGGCCTTCTTTTAGCTGAGGATTTTATTGCTGCTGTTTGGAATGTCACATAGTCTTGGAAGTAATAAAGAAGGCAATCTTTACATTGGCCAATTCTGAGCAAGGGGAAATACAAGGCTGAACTAGCAACACAGGTAATTTTATAATGTCTGGATTAGTGGAGGGTGTGGACACTATCAGAAATATACTAATTAGAATGTAGGAAGGAGAATACTCATTAACTAGCACATACATGTCAGTCCAAAACTCATTCGTCGTATTGAATGTTTTTTCCCAGATTTATACCAGAAATTGACATTTTTCTCAAAATACTGTTATCAAGTCTTTAATTTCACCTGAAATGAATGTATGCTCAAAGAAATCAATGTAATTCATCCTAATTTTACTGTATCCTGTATCTTTAATTAACACCTACAATTTTGTAAATAATGTTTTGCAGACAGAAGCAAGTATTTCCTTTCAGTATTTCAAAGCTGGACTACTTGAGTCAAGGCAAATACTAAGGTCAGTGCTATTTGATATTTGCAGAAAATGGATGGCTCTTGGGATATTTAAGGCAGGTCTGATAGTGGCAGAAACAAGGTCAGGTTGAGAGCCAAGCCAGTGATAGGGAGAAGGATATGTCAGCCCAGGGCCATTCACTATTGCCAGATTTTGTTTCACCCTTAAAGGAGAAAATAATGGATGTTTTGACACCCCACTTTGTGTAAATATGAGCATATTAAAGCAAAAATGTCCAACAGAATCAAAATATAAGTGGATAGTGAATGTAAGTCAACCCCTTGACAGAGTAAATATTGAATGAAATGGCAAACAAATTTAGCTTCCAAAAACAGCTGTTGTTGATGAAGATTTGACAAAATGTAGGCCCTTATTTTGTTTTTCTTTATCAATAGTTTTAAGAGGATTGAATCCTTTGACTCATGGGGAAATCTATGCTAATAATAACAAATATAGGTAGGTTTTTATGCACAAAGTTCTTAATCATGATAATATTTTTAAAGGTTAAAAATAGAGAAGTCATTAAAGATTGGCTAAATACATTCATTTGGGTCAATATAATGGAACATTACTAGCAGTTAAATCTGATGTTTTAAAATAATAAAGGGAAAATCCTAAAGTTTTATATCTATATCTACCTATTATATATATATGAGATATGTGGATGAAGAAACAACTGAAAAACATATAAAATATTTAGTATTAAAAATTTTCATTCAATACTATTCTGTATTTCTCAGAATTTTTAAGTCAAGTATATATCTTTATTTTTGTAATTTAAATGAATGTAATCCAATAAGTTTTTGGAGGAAACCTAGCCATTTTGTACCTGTTGGAATTTCCCCTGTCATCTATGTGTTTGCTCAAGCTCAAGGTGTCGCATGGATGCCTTGAATGTGTGTCTGAGAAAGGAAACAAGAACGCTCTGAGGAAATGAGGGGATGGTCTTTGTTGAAGAAGGGGGCAGAAGAACACAGCTGATTAATTGTAGTGCCCTCCCAGAAATACTAGCAGGCTGTAGAGCCTGGAGAGATGGTCCCTCCGTCCCCAGACTGATCAGGGCTACTTCGCTGTGCTGCGTCAGTGAGCTCTTGCTGCAAATGTGGACCTTCTATAATAAAGATATTCCTACCTGGAAGATAGCCATGATCAAAGTCAGATTTTCTTTTAACCAATTTCACTTAACATCTCAAAGAATAAAACAACCATGGGTGAGGCTCCATACTTGGGAAATACAGTTTGAGCTGATATGTGTTATTCATCCACAGCTTAATTAAAGCGTGAACTGATATCAGACAAAAGTCAACAGAGTTCAGGTTAATTCATTTGATGGATCATCATGACTTGTTAACATTACTTCTGCAGAATTAAAAAAATGTCAAAGAATTAGCACAAAGAACCTTTCTGCCACTTACTGTAGAGTTCACGTTATGTATTCATTATCCATTTTTACACAGACTGTATCTTGAAGCAGTTTTACTACAGTGAGTCATATATTAAACTGCAAAAATTACCAGATGGACATGTTCATACAAGCAAATTATCCATTAGTCTGGTGAGGAGCAGAAGTAAAATGAGATCAGTAAGATCCTAGAGAGGACAGTAGGCTCTTTCTTTTTTGCTTTATCAGATTACCTATTAATGTTCATTTACATAAAATAGCTTAAAGATCTTTTTTTTTTTAACCTATGGATTTACATCTTTTGTCTCATAAAAATGTCTGAAACTTACTGTTTTTTTCTGTCTTCAAATTCACATTTTAGATTCCAGGATACTTTTTACCATCCTTAGTTATATTGGCTTTACACAGGTGTACTGTTATCTTATGCATTGACCTTGCTGTGTGTGTGTGTGTGTGTGTGTGTGTGTGTGTGTGCATGCCAAGGTGCATGTTTGTTTGGCTTAGTTTTGCTATCTATGAAATGAAGCCTTTTTGATCAGGGGCTACTCAAATTTGAATTAAGGAGTTTTACACAATGACAAACTATTGTGCATCTATTATGAGTAGCCAAGGACCTGAACAACAGTAGCAAGATGAGAAGGGAAAGGGTTGTGGGGGAAGGCATTGGACCAGAATGTAGGGAACTTGGTGCTCAAAGGGCCTTTTGAGAGCCACAGTTGAACTATACGTTCTCTGATTTGCCTTCTCTGTCCAACATCCTATGTAGAAGAAGAGGAGAAGGCAGGGAAGAGGAGGTGGAGGAGAAAGAGGGAAGGGGAAATGAGAGGAAAAGGGGAGGAGGAAGAGTGGAGTGGGAAGGATAGGTGGAGAGAAGAAAAGAAGGAAGTAAAAGAAAAGACAAAAGAAAAAATACCCTGGAAAGACAACTTTCTTGTTGTAGTAAGTGTGACACTAACATTGAGAAAGAATAATAAGAACAGAAATGGCTCTCCAAAGATGATTACTTGGAAAGCATCTATGTAGACTCTGTTCCTGTCTCCTAGGGAGTTTGGGTCTTTGAAAAGATCATGAATCTTTATGATCAACTGCTCTTGTTACTTTCTTTTCCCTGTTCTTTCAGTAAGACAAGAAAATGAGGCCCCTAACTACAGAAGCCATTCAGGTGGAAAATAATTACATGATCTTATCTAAATCTGACAGCCCCTTTTATATACTACCAGACTACTGCTCCTGGGTTTTGAGATTATTTGTCCTTATGTATCTGCTCAAGTTTTATTTAACACTTTGTCAACTTTTAATACCAAAATGAATGATGAAAATAATTAAACTAACACATTTAAAGGAAAGTAGTTTACACATGTCTTTGTAAAATTGTGAGGTAATCATTACTAGATTTATTGCAGATTATCTACCATCTGCATCATCGAACAAAATAATGGCAAACAACACAGTCTGGAAAGAAAATCAATAGACTGGGAAGGCACTATAAATTTAGAGATTACAGAGAAAATGACAGAAACAAGATCATATTGAGAGTTATACTTTAAAACTCACAGCAGAATTAAGAGACAAAACATGCACACAGAATTCAGATGCATGCTCTTTACAACAAACTTAAAACATAATAATGCAGAAAATAGAAGCAGTCACCAAACAAATGATGTTAAAGAAATCAGGAATAGTAACATTAACAACAGATGAAGGAATGTAGGGAATCCAGTATTCACTGGCAAAAAGAATCAATTGTCATTTAAAAACACATAAAGGAAAGAAAGCCAGTTTTCCAGATGTATAATCCATCCGGAAACACAAAAAGTATAAAACTTCTAAATTCCATTTAATGAAATTATCTAATTAGTGTTACAAAAATAGGTGAAAAAGTCACTGAGAAAGTAGTGGGCAATATTACCTATAAATAAAAAATTGTTTAAGAAACAGTAAAAAATTTTACCACAGTAAGAGTCTATTCTGAGAATGTAAAAATACTTAAGTGGACAATGGAAGGAAGGAGTTGAGAAATGAAGATTAAAACACAATTAAAAAATAATAATGTTGAAAGTAACATTTGAATCCAAAGTAAGTGGGTGGATGGGGATGTAGCTTAGAGGTAAGGCACTTAGCTTAGGCAACTTTCAAGTGTGAGGCCCTGGGTTTGATGCCCAGCATACAAATAAAAAAGATAAATTAAAGTTTAAAAATCAGTGTAAGCAGGGTTAGAGCTGACCATGCAGCTGCTGATACTGACCCTAGCCACTGAAGGTGAATTTAATGACAGAAACAAGGGGAATAGTTATGATGAAAGCGTGAAAAATGTTCTTTCCCCATTCTTTCAGTAAGACAAGAAAAAGTGACAATTGGCAAAAAAAAAAATGTCATATTGAAGATCTCTCAGAAATATGGCATAATAAAAAGTGGAAAGGATGAGACGTGGCAAGCTTATCCAAAGTTTGGAAAGAAAGTGACACTTAGCTCAGGCACAGAGGAGGTAAGCATCTCACAGTGAAATTTGCCTGACGGGCAGGAGGAGAAGGGGCATTGTTCAAACTTCTGCTCCTAGGTTTCTTACAACAGAATGAGTCACTTTCATCTTCCAGGTTTCTATACTATACCGAATGTTTGCTTAACTCATGTGTAACAGTAACTGACAGAGTTTTTCCAGCATACCCAAAGAGTTTTTAAAGGCTATGGAAGAATCATAACTTTTTCTTTACTTTTTGGGTCAGTTTATAGTTTCTGCATGCATTATGATTTTTATAACATGCAGAGTGAGGACAGTGTTCCCACATTCACACCAATCATTCAGTGGGAAACACTGAACCTATCTAAATACCTTCTGCCTTCAGTAAACTTAGCACACATTCCCAAGAAGTTACAGGGGAAAAAACCCTGTAGTCTGAGAAGACACATTATAACATGAAGAAGAATATTTCAATTTTAAATCTAATAACATCTTTAGCAAATTCTAAAGGGCTATTTTAAAATTAGGGACAAATTTTATTTAATGTGGGAGTAAATAAGAGAAAATGATCACTTTTAAGGGTTATTTGATGACTGCTTATTAGAAAATCTATTAGAACCTACTGAAAATTCATAGAAAACATTATATGTCAATTTCCGAATATATGCATAAAGACAATAATTTTTGTCTATTAGTAATAAGCAGGTTGAATCTCTTATTGGAATAAAGTATACTATTTGCTACAGTAAAATTCCTGATCTAGGAATCTGGGAACAAAGATAGACAAAATATTTAAGACCTTTAAATATTAAAAAATTGCTGCTAAGATAAAAGGGGATGAATGCCAATATGCCTTTACTCTAATACAATTGTTAAATTTAAACATCCACTGTATTTTTATCACTTCTTATAGATAAGGGAAGAGTGTGTAATTAAGTTAGTATAATGGTAAAAAGAAATGTGTTTGGGAATTTTGGATTGGACAAGTTGTTCTTTAAGTCTTTATTCCCACTTCTCATTGACTTCTACACATAGTGAGTTTATTTGCTTTATTATTGTGGTTTTATTTAATAAGTAAATGATATACTGCACATAGATTTCATAGTACTACAGATGATTTCATTGTAAAAAGAAATTGACCAA